TTTAGGGCGTGTACAGAGGTTAGGTCAGGGTCAAAGAAGAAAAAATGTTACAGAAAACTCTTTAATTGTGAGGAAGGTCAACCATAATAAATGTTAATTATAATACTGTGTCCACTTGATTCGTGTCGCTCAATACTTATGTTTTTTGGTTATTAATATAAGGCTTTGCATTTATGCAACAATCTCACGTACAATATAAACTTCTCAACAAAGTCATTATGCCCTGGATCTTTTTGTCATTTCTGTGCGCAGTGTTTATGTAATTTATAAGAATGCTAGACCAATGTCGAAAAGCCTGAAGCATTTCACACCCTAAAAAGTGCAGGAGAAGCAACAGCGAAAGTTAACCATCGATGAGTCAAAAGAAACGAATTTGCTTATTTTCTAAGTACAGTACATACTTGTCTCAACTAAACAGCTATGTCTGATTATCTCAACAGTCATTTCAAGCTGAACCCATCAAATATAATGCGTCTCATGGCTTTTGCAAAAAACGTGATTTCACATAAAAATCGTTGCAAACGCTGCGTCGTCACACTTCTGTTAAAATAGAAATTTTCCAAAAGGTAAAGCTTTGTTAGACTCACTCGTCTAAAGAAATCTTAAGGTACGCCACACTACAGTAATATCTAATTCGTACAGTACATATGGTAGGAAGTCAACATAACAAATCTGCTTGTAACGAGTTTATATAATATCCTCACGCAAAGCTTAGACGAATTTGTTATGTTGACTTCCTACATCATCCACCGTACAGTGGGGTATACTTTAAGATTCATTTGAGCTGAGTGTAGTACACCTTTCTTTTTGAAATATTATTTTGATAGCATGTCGATGTGACGTTTCGCAAAATTTTTTAAATGTGAAATCACGTATCTTTTGCAGAACTTATAATCTGTTTCTCATATTTGTAGTCATATAGAATGGCATTCGAAAGCCTATTCCAGATTTAGACAAAAGCAGCAAAGTTTTCGCTTCAGAACGCTTGGAGGTAAAGCTTTTGAGCGTAATTGACGGATCATGTGCGTAACAGCGGGTAAATTCTCATTATCTTGCAGAAAAACTTCTGGAGCAAAAGAAAACTAGAGCTGGAGTCAGATTGAATTTAGCTTTTATGCTACATTTGAAAATGTGCATCTCAGCCAAACCGACAGTTTTCACCTTTAGAGCAAAATGGGTCTTCTATCCTCTTTAACTACGGTAGCACAACGGTTTACAACTAGGGTTTTAGCGCCGCTAAAAAGACCTACTCGCTCTTAAAAAGCAGAGGAAAATTGGATAATCGGATGATGCCTAGAGGTTTTTTTGAATACTCTGCATGTTACTATTTAACTCAGCAATTTTTTTGTACGTATGATAGGTGTAATGTGACGATTTATTCGGGTGTCGTAATTAGGCTGGAAGGAAAGATTTTTAGTTACTTTTTATTCACATCATTGCCGATATTAGTATACAGAATCTTATTCAAATATACTAACAAAGTTGCTCATCAACGCAATAAATTGCTGACTTCCCTACAGGCCCAAAAAGCAGTAATTCAGTAAATTTACGA